TGTGTCGTTACAAGCCTCTATCTGTTATTTTATAAATGGGAACCTGTCTCGTTAGAAGCTTCCATCTGTTATTTTACAGATGGAAACTTATATCGTTACATGCCTCCATTTGTTGTTTTGCAAATGGGAATCTGTCTTGTTGCAAGCCTTCATCTATTATTTTACATATTGGAACCTGTCTCGTTACAAGCCTCCATCTTTTGTTTTACAGATGGAATCTGTCTCGTTATAAGTCTCTATCTATTATTTTACAGATAGGAAACCTGTCTTGTTACAAGTCTCCATCTGCTATTTTACAGATGGAAACCTGTCTTGTTATGAGCATCTATCTTTTATTTTATAGATAGGAACCTGTCTTGTTATGAGCCTCTATTTGTTATTTTACAGATGGGAACCTACCACATTACAAGTCTCCATCTGTTATTTTATAGTTGGAAAGCCTGTCTAGTTACAAGCCTCTATCTATTATTTTATAGCTAGAAACATGTCTAGTTATAAGCCTCCATCTGTTACTTTATAGATAGAAACTTATCTTGTTACAAGTCTCCTTCTGTTCTTTAATTATTATTGTGTTTTGTACATAATTAGATTAAAGTTAAAACATGAAAATTTGTAGCTCATTCTCTTAACTTTCCAAGGAATTTTGAATCGCTCCAATCCGAGTTTCCTAACATGAGATATGAAGTTTTTACCAAAACTAGTGCTACTTAAATTTTAAGCAAAAACAGCTATTAGCTGCACGAGTTTCAGTAAAAAATTCATATCTCAAGCTAGAAAACTCAAATTTGGGAGATTCAAAATTCCATGGAAAGTTAAGAGAATGAGCTACAACTTTTGTGTTTTGATGTCAATCTAATTATGCCCAAAACACATTTGAAATTAAAGAAACAGAAGCTGTTATTTTACAGATGGAAACATGTCTCATTACAAGCCTCTATCTATTATTTTACAGATTGGAACCTGTCTCGTTACATGCCTCCATCTATTATTTTATAGATGGGAACCTGTATCGTTATAAGCCTCCATCTGTTATTTTACAGATGAGAATCTATCTCGTTACAAGCCTCCATCTATTATTTTATAGATGGGAACCTGTCTCGTTACATGTCTCTATCTGTTATTTTACAGATGCTTGCTTTGCACAATTTCTAGGCATTTTACAAACTAAATTGGACTAAGTCCCTAACATGAAACTTTTAGAACTTTTCCTTGACTTTCATTTGATACTTGAATCAAATAAATCCAAAATTTGTCTTTCAAGTTATGACATTTTCTCCAAAACAGCAGCAAGTAGTAAAACTGCTACTACTACTGGAAAAATTGCTGCTACTCTTGTAGAATTCTAGTTCTTGTTTCTTTAGTTTTTAATGCCTTCTAGGTGGAATTGGATTGATATTTAAATATAAAAGTTGCAACTCTCTCTCTTAACTTTCCAATGTCTCAAGAATTAGCTCAATCTGAATTTTGTAGCTCAAGTTATGATATTTTTTTCCAAAACATTAGCAAGCAGTAAACTACTGCTATTGCTGCAAAACTGCAAATATTCTTGTACAATTTTGAGTTCTATTTATTCAATTTTGAGTACCTTCTGTATAGAATTGGATTGAGATTTAAATATGAAAGTTACAACTCTCTCTCTTAACTTTCCAATACCCTAAAAATGAGCTCAATTCGAAATTTGTAACTCAAGTTATGACATTTTCTCCAAAATAGTAGCAAGCAGTAAACTGCTACTTTTGCTGCAAAAACTACAACTTCTCCTGTAAAATTTTGAGTTCTATTTCTTCAATTTTGAGTGCCTTATAGGCAGAATTGGATTGAGATTTAAATATGAAAGTTACAACTCTCTTTTTTAACTTTCCAATGTCTCAAAAATCAGCTCAATCCAAAATTTGTAACCCAAGTTATGATATTTTCTCTAAAACAGTGGCAAGTAGTAAAACTGCTGTCGCTGCAAAAACTGTGGTATTTTGGCTCATTTTCAAGGGTCTTTTTAGACTGAACTGGACTGAGGTCAAAACATGAGAGTTGTATATTCTTTTCTTAGTTTTTCAAAACTTTTTGAATTGCCCCGATCTAAGTTTTCTAACTTGATATATGAATTTTTTATCGAAACTGGTACTGCTAAAATTTTTAGCAGAAACAGCTCTTAGTATGACCAGTTTCAATAAAAACTTCATATCTCAAGCTAGACAACTCGAATTTGGGCAATTCAAAATTCTTTCAAAAGTTAAGAGAAAGAGTTACAACTTTCATGTGTTGACTTTAATTTAATTACGCCCAAAACATATCCAAAATTAAAATAACAGAAGTTGGTATCTATAGGAGTAGTAACAAATTTTTGTAGCAATCTGTTTTGTGACAGTTAGATATCTGTTATTTGATAGTCACTGATCTGTTATTTTACAATCAATCATCTATTTTCTTACAATCACTTAACTGTAGTTGCACACAGGCATCTATCTTTTTATAATCATTTATCTATTTTTAATATTCGTCCACTTATATTCCTACGATTATATATTTGTTATTTGATAGTCGCTTATCTATCATTTCCCAAACTTTCATATGCCATTTTACTCTCGCCCATCTATTTTTTTCCAATCTTCCATCTGTTATTTTGCATGCAACCATCTGTCATTTCACAGTCATTCATGCTATTGAAAGGTCAAAAGTTGGAATTAGCTTGGGAAGTTAATTGTGAAATTTGGTCACCATCCAAACTAGCTTAACATGTGTGTATGACCCATTCTTGAGCCAAAACAAATGCAATTGAAGTGGAAATTCTAAGAAAAATTAGATTTGAGGTGCAACGAACAGTGTTATCACATTTCAATTTTGGTGTGTGTCAGAAAAAATGGCCATATCTTGAAGTCCACAAGTCGAATTGAGGCGATTCAAGAACCTTTGTAATGCTAAGGAGAATCTCTACAATTATCGTGTTTTGATCTCAATTTAAATCTTCTCAAAAGGCTATCAAAAATGGGGAAAATAGAAGTTGCCAAAATTTTTAGCAGAAATAGCTCTTAGCAGCACTAGTTTTGATAAAAAATTCATATCTCAAACTAGGAAACTCAAATTAGGGAAATTCAAAATTCTTTGAAGAGCTAATAGAAGGAGCTACAACTCTCATGTTTTGCTTTTAATCTACTTATGCCCAAAACATACACAAAATTAAAGAAATAGAAGTTGGTATCTATAGGAGCAGCAATAGATTTTTGCAGTAATCTATTCTGTTATAATCATGAATTTGTTTTGTGATAGTTAGATATCTGTAATTTGAGAGTCACTAATCTGTTATGCCCAAAATGTACTCGAAATTGAAGAAATAAAAGTTGGTATCTACAGGAACAGTAGCATGTGTTTGCAGTAGTAAGAAAAAGAAGAAGAAGAAGAAGAAGAAGGAAAAATTAGAACTTAAGGATTACCAAGATAGACATGTTGAAGGAAGAAGAAGACGGAGGAGGAAGCTTCTATCGGTTAGCACGGAGGACCTTAGGACGCCGAAGTTTGCAGTAGTAAGAAGAAGAAGAAGAAGAAAGAAAAATCAGAACTCGAGGCTCATACAGATGTAGATGCTGAAAAAGAAGAAGAAGAAGAAGAAAAAGAAAAAGAAGAAGAAAGCTTGGATTGGTTGGCACAGAGGACCTTGGAATGCTGGAGTTTGGTCTCCCGATTTTGAAGGAGGAGGAGGAGGAGGAAGAGGAAAGGAAGAGGAAGTAAAACAATTTGAGGGTATTTTGGGTATAAAAATTACCTTAACTGGGTGATTTTTTTGTTATGAACTTTTTTGAAATTATTTTTATCTTTTGGCCTTGAGAGTAATTATTATTATTTAATTTTCGTTTTTAGTAACTATCCCTTCAAATTTTTGTCAACACAAATATGTCATAATAATTTAATTATAATCTCAATTTACTGTTAGCCAAATTAATAATAATACTCTTAATAACAAACTTAGTACTTTTTAAACGAATGGACAATTTAAAGATTATAATATAGAAAGATATTATTAACAATTATTATATCTATTTTAACAAAAATTTATTTATTAATTTTTTCCAATTTTTAACAAACTTTAAAAATATTATCAATTTTTATATTTTCAACATTTCTTAACTATTTTTAAAATTTATTACCTCCTTAGTTATAATAACTTCAACAAATAATCTCCCAGTCGTATCTCGTGGTGATGTTATAGAGAGATCAATGAGTTGAATTTTAATTAAATGAAACACATTCGAATCTAAATCTAATTAACTATTATTATATTTAAATTTGGTCTAAAATTCTATAAAATTTATATTTGTTAAATTATATCCAAATCCGATGATAATCCAAAATCTAATAAAATAATCTGATCTAACAAGAAAATAATTATTTTTCATATTTAACTCCCTTAATTCTATTTTATCAATCATATTAATTCTTGAATTTTGTAATTTTCGATCTAGTCAATACAACTTTGAATTTATTAATGCCGTGTATAAAAGATTATTAATTTAATTAAAAAATATTATTAAAATTTTAATTCAAATTATTAATGAATCTTATTATTTAATTCTATATCTAATCCACTTATTTCGAATTTCATATATCTATTATCGAATATAATCCATCAAATATTTTTTTCAAATTCAAATCTTCAATTTTAAATTGAATCCAAATTGAATTTAAATTAAAATCTAACACATTAACAATCTTATTACAAACTAGCCAGGACGCTTGATCATATTCTTGGCATGCCTTTGAAGTCTGGAATCATATGGTTTCTTGTCAACTTTGATGACTCGTATCTATCTCATTTCTTTAGCCCAAACAATGGACCTTTAACAAAAATTAAACTGGAAAAAGAAATTCACAATCTCTGCTGGCAATACAAATCTATTTTCTTTAAGGCCTTCCACATTCAAACCTGTTAACAACTTGAATTAACGTTTTCCTCTTTTGATAGGATCAAAAGAATGAATATGCTATGTACAATGCCTCCAATTTCTTAGCTACTCTGTTTCAGGGGGACCTTCCAAACGGAGATAGTCATACATGATTCCTTTAAAAGGGCTCAAGCCTTTTGACTGTGTTAGATAAACCGTGTTGCTTCCAGAGAGAAGCAGAGAACCTAAGACATCCACTGAAAACAACCAATACAGTCCATGAATCCCATGCCTTGCTATCGCATTGTCTTTGCCTATGAATCCTGTTGTAAAAGGAGGGGGCTGCGACGCATCTGCCTCATTGATCCGAACCTTTCCAAGAAAACAAAAAATTATAAGAGAAAAAAAAGGAGCGCGGCCTCATCAAAATCAATTTCTATTAAACTCTGAACAAGAATTTAAATTCAAAGAATAAGTTACTCTTCTTTGTTCCCATAGCTTCATTCGTATATATTAATTTTGTCCCATAATTTTAATTATAACACATCTAGTTCAAAAAATTTCAAAAGTACAGAATATTGACCATTTAAACTCAATTAATTTCCAGATCTTGTCTTCATTGTACTCAAGAACTGTCAGAAGATAATCTTCTAAAGGTCTGGTGCTGGTTTTCGGTGCTCTGTTTTAGGTTGTCGCTGCATATATGATGCAGGCATTTTTTCAAGGTTCTATGCATATCCATTAGGAGTTTTCTTTGTACTTGCACTCTCCGCACAATAGGTGATTGATAATTCCGCCACTAGGAAATTTTATCATATGCCCTGTTCTTGAGCTTCTAATGCAATAATTTATTCAGAGAATTCAACAAAATAAAAAGAAAAGAAAAGAAAAGAAAGGAAGAAATAAAAAATAAAAATAAAGAAAGAGATGCTAGAAAATTCTTTTTACTAGCCTTGAAGACCCCTACATTACCTATGCACAAATTAGAAATTTCATGTGCATGAGTTGTGGTCTGTATCTACAAACTAACTTGGGCCTAAAAGAACCACAGATCTTGGATTGGATCTAAATGTATTACAATTGAAATTAAGGGGATGAAAGAGAATTTTGAATGGAACTATGGCCTCCAAAATCCAATTTTCCAAAATCAAAAAGGAAAAAAGAAAAAGAACAAGAAAATCCTTACTTCAATCTCGGCTTCATGGGCTGATGCTATTGCTAGTTGAAGGGTATAATTTGCAGCCTCATTCACATTGTCAAGGTCAAATATGATCCTCCATGTGGTTGGTACATATGTTTTATTTCCAATGTTCCTGAAATGATAAGGTAAAATCCATGTCTCCAAGGCTCAAACTCTTAGTAATAATAACAATAAAAATAAAAAATAAATAATTTTTTTAAAAAAATCACCTGTTAACCTGAGCAAAGAACCAATCAGTTTGATAATTGCTAATTCCTATGGTGTAAGCGAGATCCTCATCAGGATAAACATCTGTGTATCGATCCCACAGACCATACTGCCTATATCTGTAGGTCAAAAATAGCTAATGGTGAGAAATGCAGATTAAACTTTCAAGAAGGATCTGAATCATCAGGGAAAGGTTTGTGTGGAAGAAAACTGAGAGCTAAGACCTGTCTGGAAGGTTGATATATAGCTGGTTCTGAAGAGTTGGATTCGGGTCAGGCACGTAAAATTCAGCAGCAGTACGATCAGGGATGCCTATCTCCCACAGGGTAGGACCTCTTCTTGGAGGCTCATATATGAGAACTCCTAGTTTAATATGCTTCCCTGCTTATTACAAATTATCCCATTATACCCCCAATCCCTGTAACCTTTATTTCTTACAAAATCTTCAGTGAAATATGCATTCAAATTTGAAATTAAAACCTGGTGTTATGTTGAGAAAAGGACTGTATTTGTAATCTCCAATGAAGCCAGGCACCCATGCGTACAAGCTGTAATTTCCAGGCCGGACACCTTTAATCAAGAAGTACCCTTCAGAATCAGCTTGAGCCCAAAACTGATAGCCCTGAAATTATGAAGGATTTTAAGCATTGCCTGATCAAAACTTGTGGTTCCTCAGCTATTAGATTAATGAAAGTTAAGAGGGCTTTAACCTAGCAGTCATCATCCCACCTCCTACTTTGGGAGGCTAGAAGTTTAAATCTCACTAAGGCGTGTTGTGATCTCTCTCTCTAAATTTTTAGCATACCAAAGGAAAGAGAGATACAGGCAGAGATGAACCTTGCTTTCTCTTTGCCATGATCCAACTTCTCCCGGTGGAGCCAGCCCCACATAAGCAAAGTTTGCAGTCACGAGATCTTGATCAATGTAACTGAAATAAGATATTTATCTCACATTCAGCACCATAATGATAATAATAAATGAATTTGGTGTTTGAGCAAAGCAAAGAGAGGAACCTATCACGGATTAGCATGCGACCAGCCACCGTGCCTCGCTGATGAGCATGAAGGTAGTCCTCTGAAATGGGGAAGTAGTATGGCCAGCTTTGGGTTTCAATCGACATCTAAAATGAACTAGAAGCTGTTAGTGATTACATTTTGCTTGTATTGCAATAATTATTTCTGCCTGGAGTAGCAGTACCTGTTCTTTAGCATCTTCCCATAATGTAAGGGCATCCTCATCAGCTGCGGCCATGTTCAGATAGACTGCAACAGGGCCAAACACCTTTTTCCATAACTCACCATTCCTCAATTTTATTGCCAGGCTATCCCCGGCATAATGGGTGCTAAAAAACATCTGGAAATTACAGAATACATTGTCACACGTTGTAACTATGGCGGCTAATATAATATTGCAGGCATTTCAATAGGCATCAAGGCCCAACAAACAATTTAGGATTACATATTTCTTCAGAAGGACTGTGCCATGAGATGCTTACAGACAAAGTAGTTGGACCCACGTGTGAGGTGAGGTCTTGCTTCACGGGCCCACCTGTACGGAACTCATCGCTGGCTGTGATCATCCAGAATCCTACAGTCGGTTCAAAGTATATCCATCCATGAACGCGGTTGTCTTTGTTATCACATGAGTATTGGTACTTATCATCCACCTGCATGGCACAAGATCCACAAACTACATGATCCAACTTGGACACCAGAATTGATGACAAAATTTGATTCTTAGTACCTCAACATGTATGTATCTTTCCTCAAAATTTCATCCATATATGAATGACATTTTTGTCAATTCATCTGAAAACTATCCGATAGATCAACACAGCAGCAGGAGATAGCTTACCTCTCCTCTGAGCTCTGGATTGCTTGGGTTTGTGATCAGAACAGCTTCTGGGTAGTCAAGAACAAGGCCACTTTCGCGATCCTCAGCTGTGGGCATGATTCTTTGCCTTTCATCCGAAATAGCCATGTAATGAAACCTAACGCACAACTATAATGGTCAGGATTGACATGATAAAAAATATCAATTCATGCAAGCATTATTTCTTTGTATATCTTACAAGTTCTCATCAAGCTTGAACACCATTCTTCCTTGGTAGATGTTTAGGTCAGGCCACCCCTCTGGGTGGATGAATATTGCATACGAATAGAAACCAGGGTAGCCACGCAGCATTATGAACCTGAAATTTAACAGGAAAAATTAAGAATTTGTTTGGCTCCAAATCTAGTAGGTAGCTTATGGTGGAGATTTCTGCTACTGCACCTTTTGTCTGTAATGAGGGGAATTCCAGATCCATTGCCAGAAGCATTCCATACCCTTGTGAAAGAAATTTCTACTTGGTCTTCATCTTCCTTCACAACATCAAAACTTGTACCTTCTAACCTGCATGAAAGCAATAGTTCCAAGAAATTATATTTGAAATTGGATAATGATACCGATTCCTTGCTAATCTATGAATAATTAAAAATGCACAAACTTACAAGTCATATTTACCACCAAGATGTCCCGGACTGTCCCAAACGACATCCCAATATCTGCACTAGTACAAATTTGTCAAACAGAATGTAAAAGGAAAAATTGAGTCTGTTGTCACGCTAAATGTGCTTACCCTCCTCTGTTTGTTTCCTTATGAGTGGGTATCATTAGCAGATTGTCAATTCCATTGTATGCGATCCCTGTGACCTCGCCCTGTGGGGTGGACAATGTGACATTCACCAGCCCATTATCCATCACAACCTGGAAAATTACACGAAGATTTAGAAACTAGCTCAAGTGTTAACTTCAACCTATTATGCGTGGATGTCACCATTAAATCTCTTGCTCATCCACAAGACAAAAAACATAAAGACATAAATAGAAAGAAATTAATAATTGTTATCTTGATAACAAGTACATGGTGATTCAGTCTGTGTAAGAGGACCGGGAAGGCTGCACATCTTCTTGGCTGTTCGTGCTTCTTCGAAATTTTCTGCAGTTGAATCAAAATATTAGATAAAAGAAATATCAGACATATAATGTCAATTGTTGGTTGTCCTAGAGTCATTAAGAGAATGAACCATTGTCATACTTCAAAAACTTATTTAAATTAATAACAATTAATTTATAACAAAAATAAAGTGCATGATCTCGAATTCATACCAAATGAGTCACTGTCCTAACATGTCATGTTATATTCGGGTTTTCTCAATACTTTTGTATCACGTTCATTCATGAAACTTGTCGTGTTCAAAGCCGTCGGTTATAGTTGAAAGCAAAGTATGTCCACATGTGTTTAGAATTATTGGTACGGTCCCAGACTCACATGACTAAAGTTAAGAGCTTGTTTGTCTTCCCTCCCCCCCCACAACCTCCTCCTCGTAATATAGTGGGACGTACACAAAATTTTCATCTCTGTAATTGGTGCTGGAGTCATGAGTTTCAATAACTTACCAAATCTCATCCTCTCCACTTTCATTCTGCAACAATAGCCACAAATTAAAACTGAAGCAACTATTTGCAAGGACATGGTCATGGGCTTGTCTTGCACAGACATGAAGAAAGAAATTACTCAAAATTACTCATCTTTGACTCTTTCCCAATAGGTAGGGCTAAAATTTGGAGACATCAAATTCCAATCTCGGGGTGTCGATCAGAAACAAAGCATATGCCACGTTGTGGTATGACGTGTCTTGTCAAATAAGTTGTTAAATTAGATTTAATTAAAGTTTATTTCATATTTATAACTAAAGTTTTTATAAGAACTTAGGAACGAGTTTTTGCATAATTAGGAATTGACACAATAAGTTTGAATATATTTTAATATAATAATTATTAAAAACTTTTAAGAAATAACTTTCACATTTATGAGATAAATAAATTTTGGATTCATAAAAAAGATCGAGTTTGAAATTAATGTAAATGAGTTAATCTTGAATTTATTAGTGCATGATCTCTCAGCTAAATACGTTATCTTCGGCGGGGGAAGATGATCATAACAAAGTTTTCTTCATTTTACATAAGCGAGAGAATTTTTAATGAACGGAGATGTAGAGGTCTCAACTGTCCTGACAGTTAAAGACAAATTAAAATCACTATCTACAATTTGCCATGTATAATATGATTTGCCGAAATTAAGTTATTGAAAAAGGGTTTTAAAAAAAAGAGGAAAAAAGAAAAGGAAAAGGAGGATCACTATGCAGTGTCTCCTAATGCCCCGCGATGTAGCTATTTTATAGGGCATGGCACCATGGACGAGGGTGCTCTGCTCCATAACAGAGTAAGACAATAAGGAAAGACAGCAGACCAGGCCATCAGAGAAGATTCCAGGTTAGCTTCTCAAGCTTAAAATTAATATACTTAAATGAATTTCCCCAAAATCCCCTAATATGTTCTGTTGCCAAACCAACAATGCACGCACGTGAACCCAAATACATTCTTTTCAAAAATGAAAAGAAAAATAAAGAGGAGAGGGGGAGAGAGGGGGGGGGGGGGGAAGAAACTGTTGGGAAACCGTCTTTCTAAGTATTGTTTTCTTCGGGTTCGGGGTTTTACTCTGATTCAGGTTTCCGCCTAATAGATTGATAGGAACATTCACTAATATTTCAGCATTCAAAGAAAGTAAAAGTGAATTGAATTATTAAAAGGAAGGAGAAGGAGGAGAGGAAGAACCTAACCGGGGTCTTCACGGAACTCTCGGCAAGCAAGAACAGCTGAAGAAGAACTCCTAACCAAACACCCACCAAACCCCATTGCGTCCTCTTCCACCCCACACGCCCCATATCTCTTTCAATTCTCGACTCTGCAAACCGGTACTGGAACAGAGCATGGGAAATCACAGCGCCATTAGCGATTTCTTCCTCCTTTACCCAAAAAGTGAAAGAAAAGAAGAGAAATATTCACAGACCTTTCTCTGCAAACGACGGCGTCTGACAGAGACCCGTTTCCCTCTTGGAGCTTTCTTGGGCTTATTTTCTTCAGTTTACCAGACTGATACTATTTGCTTCGTGCCAATGGCGGCAGAGATAGAGAGAGAAGTTTTTGAAAGGACGTGGGAAGGAAGTTCTTGGGCTCTTAATTCGGTCCTCTCATAGCTAACAGTTACTACAATCCTAACTGCGAAGGTATTACAGTCAACTTTAGGAACATGAAGCTCTATATAAATATAAATAGAGGGGTAAGCCCTGTTTGTGATTCCGTTTCACACCGTGAACTACTCTGGACCAGACCGCGTAAAAATTAGATTATTTAATTTTAATTCAGTCTAATTTTAAATTGAAAATCTTTAGAGTGCAATTAAAATTTTAATTTTTGAAATTAAATTTAAAACCGTCCAACTAGAATCAAAATTGAGAGTTGAGTTGGGATTAAAACGTGAACTGGGAAGACAAAATTGTGAACCGAATTTTGAATTTTTTTTTTATTTAAATATAAAAAGATTTTCATTTAATTTTTAGATATAAATTTATATAATTTATTTTTTAGATATAAAATTTATTTTAGACATGTTAACTAACAAAAAATATAAATTTTATAATTTTATAAAGATTAATTTAAAAATAAATATATTGAACAAACTAAAATTTCTTCCAGTATATAAATTCAAATTTAAGAATAACATAAAAAAATAAAAAAATTTATTTAAAATATGAAAAATAAAGTAACAATATTTAAAGAAAAAACATAAGTGATTGAAATATAATTTATATTTTATACAAAACAAAATGTTAGTTTACTTTTCTCTCACATTTATTGTAACAAAAAATTAAAGAAAATAAAAATAGGATAATCTCTTAACATAATGTTAATGTTAAGATTTTATTTTCAATGATCTAAAATATTTATAAATTAATATTTAAAAATTTTTTAATTAAATTGAACTGGAACCAAATCAAAACCAAAACTGAATCGAAACCGGAACTGAAATCAAAGCGAATCAAAACTAGAAACTGACCCTACTCAAAATCAAAACCATGACAAAAGTGAACTAGAATCGTGAAGATTCAAAGCCAAAATCAGATTGGTTTTCAAAGTTTTAATATCGATTTATATTTTTCAAAACTAGAACCAGCGATTTGATTTTAGTTTAGGCGGTTCACAAAACCGTGAACATGCTAATCCGAAGAGTGTCCAAATAAAGGCATTGGATAATTAGTTAAGGTCTAAATATTTTAGGATTAAAGGAACTTTCGTTGATAGAATAAAGCGGTTTAAGTCAATAGAATAAAGCGGTCGAGTGTCATAGAATTCCTCGTGAATATGTCTAATTATATGCTAGATTAAAAAAAGAAAATAGGGTGAAAAAGGAAGCTTTACAAAATGTCAATTTTGGTGTGTTAATAAATATTATTTATTATTTGTGATTATCTACAATTTGCGACTATTTTTGTGATTAAATTAGTCCTAATTTAGATTATTTTTATTTATTTATATTAACAATAAGATTATAATAAATTATTTAGACTTTATCAAATTTGTAATTATTTAGATTGGGACAAATACTCTAAAGTTTAGAAATACACTTGCATCATCTATATGTGTGTGTGTATATATTGAGTTGAAAATTATAATACTTCCCAATCTTTCATGGTTATAAACTAACTATATTGAATCATGTAAATCATTGTATCTTCTCCCTAATATCTCTAATTAATTTTTAATCTCTTTATCATGCTAAAAACTCTAGAGGCCTCTTGCATGGTTTTGTTTTCTATTTTTATGAAAAGAAAATAATTTTTTTAATTTTCCTTTATAAAAATGAAAACAAAAAACACTTTTGATAAGTTTCATTTGTTGTGTTTTTACAATAATATATGGAAAATGAATTTTCATTTGATATTTAATTTTATTATTCAAATTTTCTCTTTTTACTATTTATTTTTTCATTTAGTTTAAAAAATCTTTCACTTTACACTCTTTTTTAAAAAAGTAATAGCAATTTTATTTTAATTTTTATAATCTATAAAAGCAAAAACAAAAACAAAAACAAAAATAATATAAAACATTAAAAAGCATGCCCCTATCTAGTAAGGAGCTGATCCCTGTAAGGTGATAATTCTAGATAGCCGATTCCTTTATTCTTAACCAAACCTTCCCTAGCAAGGAATAGCTAGTGCCACTCACTTACCAAACCGGGACGGGACAAAGTTGGAAATCCAATGCCCCTCGGCAGTTTTATATACCCCGAAAAAAAGAAAAAATAGAATTTTATTTATTTATTAGACATTCTCATTAATTTATAAATTTTTTATTATATCTAAATTCAATAAATTTTAAATTTATTTATTTTGATATTATTTATAATAATTAAAAAGTTATTGACTTAAATAATTTGTTGAGACTAAACTACTGAATTAAAATATTTAAGTATAAATTATTCAATAATAAATTTTAAAAATCTTATATATTATATTATGTCATATCCAAAAATTAATATAAAATACAATATTGTAGTCTTAATAAATTTGTAAAGATATTTTCATTTATTTTTGGTTTAAGCTTGGTCAACCAGAAATGTTTGCTCATAAAATAAGGTGAATTTGCGCACTGTTAATGGGTGTTATTGACCCACAACATTTATGTTTATATTTTTTTAGGGAAAAAGTTTATTTTTAATTAGTTACAAGGTGAAAACAATAAAATTTTCTAACAGGTTTCAATTATCTGTAAATATAAAAATATAAATGTCCAACGTTACCAAACACAAAGGAAAACTAGCCACATTCGGTGTAAATTCGTCAAAGGTTCCTCTATCTACCTGAGGCAGTTCTTGACATCTTGGTTCGTGAAAACCGAAAAGCCTTTTAGTGGTTGTGCCAAAAGTTGACATCAGTCCTCAAATTAACATTTTACACGTGGCAATTTTTAAAATTATTTTTGTCCTAAATTTCTTATCGGGTCGGTCAGTATACAAGGTGACAAAGCTCAGGAGATTCCCGCTCGCTTTAGCGGCGTTCACGGCCGGCTTGTCTTAACGGTCGGAACCGCTCGTTCTCCCCTCACATTGGAATTTTAAATTGTAAAACACTCGAGGGAATATTTAAGGGCCAAACGTGGCGGAAAACGAGGGGCTGTTCCAAAAGAGCTTCCA